CTCAGGACAATTCTGTCTCAGTCACATCGCAGACCTCCTCGACGTCTGCTGTGAGAGTCCAACGAAGGCCCAGCATCATGTCCCAGCAACATGCTGAACCTTTCGCAGGATAGTAATTCTCAAGAAATGGACAGATACATGATCCAGGATGTATGAAAACTAAGGGTGCTCAAAACCTCTTCAGGAAGTTGAATGAACTTGAAGTTGTACAGTAACATGTTGTTCTACCCTAAATCCTCAAGAGTTCAAGGGTCCCAGGCCCAGTGGCAGTGGAGGTTGTGCGCCCCTAGACTGCTTCTACTTCTTCTTTGCTTTGTTTTGTGCAAGGCTAGTGATTTGACGAGCCTCTGATCCAACCACCTTGGCGTGCGTGCTGAAGCATCAGTTACAGTTACACAAGAAGTTTGACTTACCCTCCGACTCACCAACAGCTCTACAAACAATTCTTTTTCCCCCTACAGTACATCTTAGCGAGTCGGAGTCGGAGTGTTTCCAGCATGCACTGCTTGAGTCCCCGTTCAGGACATCTACAACCTTGGCACCATCCACCTCAACGACTGGGACCAACACGTCAGCACCCTGAAGTTGCCAGTGTGCCTTTCTTCGGATTCTGCTCCTGTTCTTCTCATCTTTCTTTCATCCGGTCCGAGCTTGACAGAGTGGACGGTCCGGATTCTCTCACCATCTTGCTGGGTATTGACCCACATGTGTGTGGATTCTCACAGAACGGAGTGGTGAATCAATAGGAATCCTCCATCTCACCTGAGGGAAGCATGTCCCTACTGGTTTTGTGTTCGACAAGCAACAGTTCAATGAGCAGCAGTCTCCATCGACCAGGTCGCTTGCCACATCGACCCTCACCAGCGTTTCCAACGAGTCCAATGAGTCAAGCCAGCGGAAGTTGCAGGAAGTTGTTGGTCACGCTTCGTTTTGCTTCCCTCAGTCACGAGAAATCACGTGGAGAATGTGTATGTATGTGATTTGATCACAAGGATATACCCTGGCTGCATGAGACCCACAAGACATTGGTTCTTTGTGCTTTTTTCTGTTTGTTTCCTTCATTCTCTTTCTACGTTTACGTAACTCCTCTTTTTCGCTGAAGGCCCTTCGGTCACAGTGAAAGTTGCGAAGCCGACAGACCTTGCCATCCAGCACTACTAGTATCAGCATGTATCAGTAGGAAGTGGTTTGGCGATGTTTGGGCACAATCTTCTGTCTTTTATGCCTAAACAATGTTGTGTGTGTGTGTTGTGCCAGGTCAGAACCGCAATGGCAGCCGCAATACTCCGTAGTACCAGAGGCTTCCGGAGGGCTTGGCAGTTCAAGAAGTTGGTCGTGAGGAAGGCATGGAACTAATGGTACTCTGATGTACTCTGTTAATTCATAATTCTTGTACCTAAAAACACGAATCTACCTTCTTTCAGTTGCAAGAATTAACCAAAGACCATTGGTTCACGGACCAAATGCAATCCCTTGGTACTCTGTAAATTCTTCAGTCTTGCCACAGATGCTCGAAACCTGAGCGAGCGAGAGAATTACAATGAATTATATAAACACTTGTCAATTCTTCAGTTGGACCAATGGATCAGGCCTTTGGAGGAAGCTCTCATCCATTTGCGGCCCCAGATGAACCGATTCGCTTTTCGGCCAGGAAGACCCGGACTCCGTCAAGGCACGCTGGAGCCAGCAGAGCAGAGCTGCTTACTGCTTTTTGGTTCACTCAGGTGGCGCAGAAAACCAGCATCAATCATTCCTTTTTTCCAGCAGGTTGTTGTAGCTGGAATACTATAGCAGACTCATAGCATTTTTTTGCGCTTCATGAAGGTTTGCCTCATCATGGGTCACTTGGGAGGAGATTCGATCAGCTTCGAATGGATCACACGCTTCGAATCAATCCTCCTTCGCTTCACGTGTCCAGGTCAGACAACATTGTTCAAAAGGACCAAACGTAGACTCACTTTCGTCTACTGATGGATCAGGGACTGGACTCTCATGCCTGCCATGCCTGCATGGTTTCCTGATTTTCCCCATCACTTTGAGAAACAGGTCTACATCTTCTCCATTCTTGGTGTGATGGCCTTTGTGGCGGCAATGGTGCTGCTGTCACTGGGTGTAACAAACACCAGGGGCAATGTCCATTGTACAACGACAACGATATTAGCCAGCATGCTTGCGAGCATCGAGATTTCATAGAATCCAAGCCTTTAGCCAAGCTTCTATATGTTCCTTTTTTGCTCCATTGTTATTGTTGTCTCAAATTAGGGAACCTCAAACAGATGAGGAGACCTATTGCCCAAGACAAACCAAATGAGGAGACATTTGGTCCACAGAAGTCCCCCAGATAAGAGCGTTCGTCAAGATGTATTCTTTGCATTTCTTTGTCATTTTCCATTTTCCACCTTGTGTTCCCGTTCGACACTGCAAACCTCACCAGTTCCACTGAACACCGAGCACACCGCGGTTTCTTCCACCAAGGACCTGGTGGTGTGCCCGCGGGCTGCTGCAGCCCAGCGCCCTGCGACATTGCCTGGGCCGTTGCGCCACCGAGGACAGCTCAGACTTCGGAGGCGGTCGGCGTCGTGGTCGTGCGTTGGTTCGGGAAGAGGATGTGGAAGAATGAAGTGCCAAGTGATTTTGAAAGGTAAGACAACCATTACAATTACTATGTATATATGCATATATATATACATATGGTACCCCCCCAAGACCCACCATTCAACCCTACATACAGTTACTATGACCCCGATTGAGATATTTGGTCTTGCAGGTCACAAGATCAGAGGTCACAAAAAGGTGGGTCTTCGGGGGGGGGGGGGAGGGTATAAATATATATATATATGTATATATATATAAATATGTATATATATATATACACATGCACATACAGACAATATCAATGTAATGTATACTACTGGCATGCACACCGCCAGAACTTTAAGTCAACAGGATGAGAAGAGGTTTGATTTCAAGCTTGTCATGTGATGAGAATCAATGTTGTTCTGCAAGCTGAAGATGCTTTGAAGTCTGGAGTTGAACCCTGACTTTGAAGCTCTAGACGACTCTGCTCCACTCTTGCGCCTTTGAGTCAGGGGCCCATGCAGCTAAATTTCCGTGCGCAGAAGCAAACAAATGTAGACACTGACTGAAGGGTGGTTTTAAAGTTCATGTTTACAGCTGGAACCTGAATGCGATCAGCAACCAGCAACTCTCAGAACCTAGTAGGCCCGATGATTCACCACTGGAAAGGAGTAATTAGGCGTCTGGTTTTGGAAGGCAAGAATTGAGATCAGAAGTTGGTACTTCTACATGTGATCCCTGAATCAAAGTCGGCCAAGCAGGATCTGTGGGGGTGCTATGGTTCAACCAACAGGACTTTGTGTTTGTTTGCCGTATTCACTCTGAAATTTGTAGAAGATATTTGCATTCTGTTGATCCCCTGCAGTGGCAGGTGTTTGTGGAAAGTAGGCACAAGACCAATTATGTATACAAGTCTTCAAACTGTTTCACGTGTCCAGGACTTCTACCACCTGAAAAGGACGATATGCGTTTGTCATCAAGTGTTTTGGGATGTTTCGGGATGAGACAAGAAAGACCCTTCAAGTCCTCTGATCAGGTGTTTTGCCCGTGCACAGGGAGGCGGGCGCCGGTGTTGCGGTTGTAGCAAGGTGTCTCTTCAGCCTCGGTGCATGGGAATTGATGAAAAGGTCGTTATAAGGACTTTGATCCACTGTGATGAAGTAAGATCAACCATAAATCATTTTGAAGATGAAGTGGGAGTTATATAAGTTGATCCGCCATATGAAGAGTTTTTCATCACTTAGACCATATATAAAATGAATCTGACAACAAACCATTCCAATCCATGTCTTTCCCTTGAACCCCAGGTTTCCAGGAACGGAAGAATTACTGTAGAGGACAGGCGAAACAAGTTTGGAGCGCAAATGACATCTTTTCGGGGAAGCATCTTGGGCAGAGTGTGTCGTTTTTTTGCATTTAAGCCTGTACACATGTCGACGAGTGTTAGAGGTAGAGGTAGACACACAAACCGACGACGACCGACCCACTGGACGTCCACGGTCCTCGATGAATCGGAAAGGGCGCTCGGTGGATTCATTGAAGTCGCCGCGCACACGGACAGTCGCCAGGCTTGGGTGGAGGCGGGTTGCGACTTTTGGAGACGGGAAAGAGGGGAAGTACCTTAGTTATGATATGAGGAACTTGCAGGATTTCTCAAAAAGTCCACCCTTCCACCCTTGCTCTTCTTGATCGACTTCCATAAATGCAGGTTCTCCAAGGGCACGAACTGAAGAAGCTCACCAGCTGTTCAAAGCGTTTTGAAGGCCGTGAATTGCCCAGCCTTCCCAGAACATTCGACCAACTTATCCTGACTGGTTGACTCCCGATGGGACCTCACAAAACCAGTCTAGATTGATTGGAACGCCACAAAAGTTTCTTGCAGGGTGGTCAAATGGTATATGTGTCATCTCATCAATTACAGTACTTGATCTGTCTCATTTTTATGCGCCTAACTTTGCTCAGGCTTGTCAACCGAAAGTTCCAGTTGTGAAAAAGCCCATCGGTCGGTATTTTCCAATTGCCTGAGCCATAAACACCACCTTCACTTGATGTGGACCTCAGCCCAAGTCTCTGCGGCTGTCAAGTCTCGAACCGAGACTCACTGATTCGGGCATTGTTTTTTTCTTTTTCTTTTCGCGTAGCATGGGAAGAGAGATGCAGCCTCACTCCAGCAAATGTAATCAAAGTAGACACTCTTTTTTTTTTTTAACAATGATAAGGTAAGCTCAATGAGACTTGATTCACACTCTGAAAGATGATGCTTGGACAGTCAACACAAATTATGTATAAAATATATTCACCCTATACTATATAACACAATACAGCTTAGAAGGCACGTTGTGACTTTGTTTCTGTTTTGCCAGTTGGCGGTAGGCTTGATCGATAATCTGACACCATACTCAGCCCACATGTTCACCTCAGCCCACTGGGTGGCTCCTTTCTTGGATCCGAGTGCTGGAACCTCAGCGTCGCAACAGTGCTAATGGCGGATAGCCATGGGTTGTTGCAAGAGTCGCCACATGGCTAATCAGTCGGAGGGCCGAAGGAGAGTCGCCACATCCGGCGGATGAAGCTTTGGAGCCCGAAAGTCGTGGAGATCCTGAGTTGCTCACCCAAGGTGAACACATTGGAAGTGTTTCATGCATGTTGATCACAATAATTGATCAAATATAATGAACATTTGAGAAACATCAATAACTATAAACATTGAAGTTTTCACAATAATTGATCAATAATTGATCAAGGATAATCATTGAGTTGAAACTTGAGATTGCATGTCGATCACAATCATTCTCGTCGAACACCAGGGGTAATTGGCTAGGAAAAAAAGGGGCAAAACTTGGGTGTCTACCTGGCGCCTGGCTGTGCTCTCCGTGGACATCTCTTAAGCAGTCGGGGTCTGCGAGTCGGCAACACACTTGAAGATGTCACTGTGGGTCCCACTGTGGGTTAGTGAAAAAGTACATCATCCCCAAACTTGGCAACTGAACACAGAGCAATTGTTCTTATTCTCCACCCGGCCCGACTAGCTTTAAAATCCTTCCTTGGCCTGTGCTCCTGGTCATCCCCCTAATGCTCCTGATTTGTTGTAGAGTTCACACGGCTTGTGGGAACAAGCAGGAGTAATTCTAGAGGGCAAGACATGCTTTTTTACCGAAGACGCTGGCTGCTTCACATCTCAGGAAGACGCTGGTTGGAGCCGACGGTCGACTATGATCCTGACTTCCGAGAGCAGGCGAAGGCGGTGGACATGGCGACCGATGCGACCGGTCGGTCCCAACCGGTCCAATGGAATTTTCAATGCTCAATGTGACAGGTTCTCTTCTTGATTTCATCATTCATGCATAGCTGCAGCCTAGCAGCATAGACAAAGCAAGGAGTAATTCATTACATGAGTGTAGCCAAATATCGTATCATCAAGGACTCTCCACTTTCAATACTCTTTGAATCTCTTTGAATATCTTGTGATGCGGAGGTGGTGGGTCACACCTACCATTGCCCCCATGGACATCTCATGGAGAAGCCGGGCGCCCATGGATTGACAGAAGAAATCGCGATTTTGTGGAAAAGAGACTCCGCCATTCAGCAAGGGTTCACAGCTGTTTGGGTAAAGATGTATGTACATTTGGCAAATCTGATATGTTAGTCAGAATGACTCCAACATTTGTACTTTGCTTTAAGCATTCCAAAACAGACAGGAGCCTTTCACAACTTGAAGTCTGAACAGAACTTGAACCTTCAGCAGTCAAGCCAATAAATGTTCATAACATTCAATAGCATCGTTCCTTTTGAATGCTCCATACGTCATCACTCTCATGCATTTCAAAGCTTTGCGAGCAAATCCTTCCAACCCGTTTTGATGGCCAGAGAGCCAAGTTGGGATCATTGGCTCTCCTCTCTTTCGTTCACCACTTCGTGACGGGGAGTCACCCCACGCTTTCAAACACGGGACGCCCAAGGCTTGTGACGCACAAGGCAGGCTACCTTAGGCCGGCATCGCGCGGATCCGTGGCGACAGCGACGGCTTGATGGACGGTGAAGGATGGGCACCGCTTTTGGTGAAAGGATGGGGACCGCCTTTCTGAGGATGGCGGGGTGAGTCATGTGTCTTCCAAGATCCGTCGGACCGGTCGGTCGTGGTCGTCGATCCGTTTCATCACGTTCAGTTCGCATTGGTCGATTCCAGAGGTCACTGGGAGTGGTGAGCGTCCCCGGAAGATCCACACATCGCGCCAGGTGCGATGTCTGTGGCCGGCCACAAGGTGTGGGACGCAGGCGTGGGGGAACAGAGAAGACATGTCATTGTCATTCATGGTCTCATTCTTTTCGAGTTTAATTAGCTTAACACCCTGCACAAAATGACTGAATCTCAACGTTTCAAAGGATTTACAATGATTTACATATTTTTGAATATGTTTGAGGCCCCTCCCTCGAGATACTAAGACAAGTGACTTTGAAAAGGTTGCGTCTTATGGATGTTTTGATTGTTTTTGATCAGGCACCATTTTCAAGGCAGTCACCGGTGACGCAGGATGCAAGGCTGCTGGGATTGTGACTATCACGTATGCCAGTCTTGTGAGAAGCAGTTCGAGGTCGGCAATCGGTGGCAGATGGTGGCAGTGCGGCGGGGATTTCTCAAACTGTTGGTCTTGAGGGTTTTTTTCCAAATAGGACTTTGTTGCAGGAATCGGAGGCATATTCCTATCCATGAACGCATGGCATGAATTCGTCAGTGCGGCTCCCAACAGTGCTATCCTTTTCTGAAGAGCAATGAAACAGGATGTTTTCATGAACCCCGTTCGGTTCCTACCGATGACCTTTCACTTTGGCAAGGGTTGATCAGGTCCTTCTTCAGAACTGAAGACAGGCTGATAGGACTAGAATGGGAACATACGGCAAAAAATGTAAGTGCTTCTTTGAAACATGTGACAATGTGTCACTTTTTCACATAAATCCAGGACAACACCTGGACCTAGCCTCCCTCTCAGATTTGGAGGATGATTTCTCTCTACCGGCTTAGGACAGTGCTAGGTTCACCATAGCTTTAGTTTTTCCACTCTTAAAAACTCAGAGAAACATTTGTTTCATGAATTTCTCAGCGAACGTTGAAAAGAAGCAACCAGCGAAACGTACCGCATGTGCTCACAGCTGCTCCGCAGGATAAAGAATGGTATGCTTCCTGGTTCAAATTTTGGCACGGAGATGCACAAGTCTCGCCTGAGGCATGGAGGCCCAGAGAGGAGAGAGAGGGACACAACGAGGAGGACCTGGACCGACGAGGAGGAGGAAGAATGGTCCCTAAGGGGACTATCTTAAGTTGTGAGGATCCAAATAAACGTCCAATCATGTCCAGACATTGATGTTTGTTTTTTGTTTCGCCGAGGCCTCTGATCTCGGAAGGTGTCCAGTTAGAAGTTTTAACTTAGAGACAATCCTTGCACACCCTGCAGTCACCTCAGTCGTAGTGGTGCCACTTTTTATTCTCGGATGCTTCAAAAAATGCGACAGGAAAGGATGGTGTTCTGTCCGTCGAATGCAGTGAGTACGCCGTTTGAAGAACGACAGGTGCCCTTTTCGTTGTTCGAACTTATTCGCGTCCTGTTGCTTTTTGCCCTTGGATTTGCAGTGGCATTGCTTTTCCGTTCAGAGTGCCCAAGGTTGAGGAGTGTTCGGCAGCAAGCACTGTGACTCCCAGAAAGGCCAGCCAGAGGACGAGCTTTCAAGTGACGGAGCTATGGGGTGTTTTTGTTGTTTTGATGTTTACTTGGTGGACACAAGGTTGTTAGTCTATGATCTTCCAATTTCCGTGTTTGTAGTGTTGGTGGTTTCTTTGCTTTTAAGAACTAGTGCTTAAACCTTTGACCATGATAGACACCAAGATAGTGGCCCCTTGGAAGAGGAGTGATCCTTTTCTAACCCTTGCCGAGTGTCTATGTCGAAGGGAAGGCTTTACGTCACATTTGGGGTCGTATATATACTTATCGATCTCCAAGACTCAGCTTTAGTCAAAATGTTGAATTCAATCTTTCCACCAAAATCACAAAGAGATAGCTTCATCGCTTGATCAACTCAACTCTTCAGTATCTCACCAAAGTTCAAAACACCCATCGGACCAGTGGTCTCTGACGATCTGTCAGGTGCCAAAGTGTCCACGGCAGCATACCCTGTGTGAGTATTTCAAGCCTGAGGAGCCGGAGCTCGACCGTGCGGTCGCGAATTCCACGCCGTCGATCAATTTGTCACCGAGCGACGCGCCGTTCCCAAGGAGCCCCCCGTACAGCCCGGTGCTGAGTGTTAGCCGTTGCTTGCTCCGTGCCCATTGATCACACGTGAACAATCCTTTTATCTTACAACGCACTGGCAGCAGCAGAACAGAATACATTTCAAAATTTTGAATATGGGCTGTCATGGTATCAAGTCAAGTTAAGCCGAAGTTTGCAACTCTAGGCAAACCAAGGCTATGTCATCACAGCCCTGCAACGAACCTGCTTTGAGGTGGCCACTAGACATCATTTTGGACGGAGACTTGAGCCACATTTTCGACATGTTGCACCAGTTTATGGTGCCCAAGATACTAGAGGACCTAATGTTAAGACTGTCAGACCATCATGCCCCGAACTGACTGGAATGGAGCTCATTGAACTCGCCCAATGAACCGCACCCTGAGGTGCGATGTTTGCGGAAAGCGTTTGGCGCCGTATGTCAGGCGGGGCTTTCCAGTGGTCTGAGGAGGGGTCATGTGGGCTACATCGAGGTGCTGGCAAGTGCATCTGATGAGCCCTAGAGGCGTCTGTCATGGCCTCAACAAAAGGAGAGCCTCACAGGTCCATTGGGTCTTGACAAGTCTTTGAGCACAATGCGAACTGGGGTGACCACTAGATATACTAGATACCGCTAGTAGTTTCTGACCACCTATTTTGCCTTTGATTCCAGCAACTTCTCGATTTTCGGAGAGCTGCTCGAAGCTGCGTCTTCTGATCCTCTTGGTTGAATAACGGGCTTAGATGGATCTCGAGTTGGCCGTTGGCCTCACGGCCAGTGGCCCCTTTCCAGAAGGACGATTGTTTTACCCACTTGATCCACTTGTGCATCTCTTCACAAGGTCCAGGCAAAGAGAGACCGTTGCGAAGATTCAACAGATAGTCAAACACCCTGTAGTTACTTTTCAGACTCTTGGGACTCTTGGGCATAAATTCTTGGTGGAATTATATGTGTATTTAATTTCTGGACATGTCCTTCATTCTACCTTTCTTCCTGCCCCAGCTTGATGTGGCAAAGAAGTAGATTGACATGGTAAGGTCGCCCAGTTGCCTTGAGGTTTATCTGTTTCAGAATCACTGTTTGTGTCCTTTTTGGGGCACGTCAGCGGGAGATGGACCGATGAGCCACCCCAGGATTTGGGGCTGCCCAGAATGTGACTATGATGTCGGGCCTTGTTGCGAGCAGAACTTCGAGGACTCTTCGCAAGGGCGTTTCTGCTTCAGAAACTCCAAGTCGTCCCTCCCATGTCAGCGAAATGACATGATGTTCGTGGCGAAGTGGAGGACCCCGACTTCCTCCTTCAATGGCGACGGTGGCACCAGGTGCCGGAAGACCTCGAAGAGGACCGCACTCTCCCAGGTCCGGAGGAAAAACACCGCTCGGTGAAGGTTTTGGGTATGGACATCCTACTGTGGGGTGGTGGCCAGATGGTGTAAGTCTGCATCCTGTTTCATAGAAGCTACTAGGAACAAAGGGCATCGCTACTAGGAGCAGCGCAAGAAGCTAGTAGTAGCTCCTGGCCTTGCTACTAGGAACAAGAAGTATACTAGGAACAAAGGGCATCCAGGTGACACTTGGAACACAGTGGAGCTCCAGTGACCGGGCCCCCTTCTTGCGGCCCAGCCCATAAAAGCCGTTGATTCACCCCGGTGGGCCTCCTCACATGAATTGCTCATGTGGTGTGGTGTGTTTTGGCAAATATTGCCACAAGTTCCGGTGGTTCTCCAAGGATTTGGGAAAACGGCTGTTGCGGAAGATCGAAACACAACACCACTTTCCAGCTATGGCAGGTGGTCAAGATCCACGTCAACTCTGTTTCTTTACTACTAGTAGCGTCCTTGCTCCTAGTAGAAATGCCCTTTGTTCCTAGTACAGTAACTTTTTGTTCCTAGTAGTAAGGCCAGGAGCTACGTTCGTAGCGTCCTTGACCTCCAAGCGTTGAACCCATTGGGCTTCAGGACCCTCCGATGCCCGCACCTCCGGAGCCACCTTCGTCGCAACTGTCCAGTGGGTGACCCAGGGCCGATCAAGACTTCGAGAGGATTCGATGTCAGTGAATTGATTCATATTGATATTGATCCAATCTACTTTGACAAGGGCCGAGAAATCAATCGTTCAACGTCCAGGGGGAACTTGAGTATAAAAATATGGTTGTCGATCTAAAGGTCCTAGACAGCATTGTGTATGACGATGACCCGGAACATATCAAAATCTCATTTGGCGAAAGTTTTTTCTCGAGTTGGCGAAAGTAACTTTTTTTTTGCGAAAGATCTGGCGAAAGATTAAATGTGTACTTTTGTATGAATGTTCATTTGCTTCCTGAACAGCTGGTGGCCGTGACTCAGAAGTTAGATGAGCTGTGGAAGTTAGATAACCTGCTGCTGCTGCTGCGGCTGCTGCTACTACTACTACTACTATTCCTGCTCCTGCTTTGGGGGGGTGGCTTTGCCACAAAACTCTACCCCGCAAAAGGCGAAAGTTTGGCGAAAGATCGGCGAAAGTTCGCCCTGCCACATCTGACCCGCAGCCCATTATGAGTAAGTTTGAGTGACCGGCTACTACAGTGATTCTTGCAACCCTGACTCTTGCTGACACCCAGGAGAAACAAAAGAGACGTACAGGGTGTCAACAGTTAAGTAGAAGACACATGCTGACAAACTGTGAAGTTTCTATTTTGTGCTTGCCAGTAAAGAAGAAGCCATTGACGTGAACAAAACACAACATACATGGCACACATAAATACAACGTACTTCGGCGAAAGATAAAACGCAGGAAGGCGAAAGTTTGGCTAAAGTAATCTTGTTTGGCGAAAATGACGGATACCGGATAAGGGAATTTAGATCAACTCCCATATGTATATAATGTGTATAGAATAAAGTTATAGAAAATCACTGTTGCTAAAATGGGTGTGCTTAAGGAGGACTGTGTCATTTTATATGACTCATTTAGTATAAGAAAGCCACATGACGGTGCGTATAAGTAGAAGGTACCAACACTCAAACTGTATGCTGGTTGATCGTGCGTGCCTTTTGACACCCGAAAACAATTTTTCAAAATTAAAAAACATTTTTAAGACTTTTTGAGTGGACACACATCTGACTTTTTGCAATTGACCATTTAATAGTGACAAGTTTTTACCAACACGAGCGTGCTTTAACCTCTTTTCTTGGTAGCAACGGGGATTATAAATAGATAAATCAATCAAAAAATACATAAAGAAGCATACAGATAAACAAATATATATATATACACACATACACACGCACATCGTGTAATCTTGATATGTGATTTGTACCGCATGCCTTTGTCACTCACACTTGCACAAATGACATTTGATATACTGTAGGTGCTTATTTGCACAATTTCTTATTGTCGAATAGACAAGCACATTGATTGGATTTCCAGCACATCATAGGATCATTCTGTGCAAACCTCATGTGTCCGGGTTGCTGTTGAGAATTGAGATTCAGTCCAGTGCGGTTTCATCAATCGATTAGTTGATTAGTTCAAGGACGATGGATTACAGTGAAACCACTTCAATCAACCGAGGTCTGAACAGTTCTCCGAAGGCAGGGCGACGATGAAGGATAATCCGAAAGGAATTCTTCAAAGACCAAGTACCACAGAACTCATTGGCAGGACGTTTGTAGAGAGAGATTCCTTCAACATCCTTCAACCATGAGTCCGTGTCTGCCACGTATCATTGATCTAAGCCTTTGAGGCCGCGTATCGCCACTTTGAGAAGTGGGCGCTTGTGGGTCGAAATCAATGGATAATAATGACCACTGATCCAGAGAACTATGGATTTGTTGTGCTAACTCATCACAAAGTCGATCGATTTCTGGAGGATCTGCCTACAAAAAGAAAGGGCGCATGCTTTTTTCAGTGGCCCGTTGGCTGGAACAGGGCAAACATAACATTTGCAAATGAACCGCAGGGGTCAGTCAAAGCTATGCAGCTATTCTTTTCTGCAATTCTGAAGAGATCGGGACATGGGAGTTCATGGAACCGATGGTGGGCTGGCCCCCCTGTCGGCATCCCGTCGGGTCCAGGTCCGGTCCCGTCAGGTCACCCGCATCAAGCCGCAGCAGTTGGATGTGACACAGGCGGATGTGACACGCTGATGGGTCGCATGTTGATTGGTCGAGGTTGATCTCAGCTTTTTTCACAAACTTTGTCAAGCTTTGCTTGAAGATGCATGAGATAAGCACAGACCCCAAGCCACTGTGGCATTGGTCGCCCTCGATTGTGCTAGCAGGGTTTGAGCCTGAAGTATCAAGCAACTCAATGTATTTCATCGATACTCATCATGTCTTCAATGCGAGACAAGGAAGACCCAAGCACCATGATTGAGAATTTTGAGATTCTTCCGAAGCAACAGTGCGATGGCTGCAAAAGGCTGTCGTTGTTGGTAGCATCGAAGACCTTCCTTTAGCCACAAGAACACTCGACCATCTTGCCGGCACTTTGGCAGTCCCATGTGTCTTCAGAAAGGGATGCTGTGGAGGCCACAGTTTCCAACGTATTATGGGTATTAACAAAATCACTAAAGAGAGATATTAAAAGACACATTCACTAAAAGAAAGTGATGTATAATGATAATCTCACAAGGGGGGGTCGAATTCAACTTTGCTTGGGAGTGCCTTTTTTCTCATATTTTTTCGACCGTTTCCTCGAGCGGGCCAGGGCTACTTAGCTAACTTAGGGCTACTTAGCTAAATAAGGGCTGCTCAGTTAAGTAAGGGCTAAATAGCTAAGTCTAAACGAATCTCCAAATCTTGAACTTTGTGCGCATACATCTTTGCGATCGAAGGTAAACATGAAAATAAAGACTTACTATTGAGCAAAGACCAATAACATAATTATCAATCTTTGTGGGAACCTCCAGCATGAGCTGCCCTATAAGCGTTTCTTTGACAAGAGCATGCAGAAAGAACATGGACGGGATCACTAGGGCATCCAGGAGGGGTAGAAACCATAGGATCCAGGTTTATAAATATGAGGGAATCAATTTTAAGTTCATGAGCAATGGCATTCAATATTGAGTGCGTCCCCCACTTCGTTTAGTTTGCTGCAGCTATAGCGTGTGCATGAAAATGCATGAACATGTGTTTGGCCAACCTGACAGGGGGTGCTCAACAACCAGAAGCCTCATTCTTTTTTGAATTTATTATTTAACGATTGCCTTTTGAGATGTGTATATGTAAGGAATTAAACAGTTCATACAGTGCTATTTGATATTACTTTGTTGTACAACATAAAAGTTTTCCAGAATCAATGCTAGGAATGAACAACAACTGTAAAGCACGGGCCTCCACAACGTCCCACTGTCTTCTTCTAAGAAGGGTAGATATCCAGTTTTCAGACATGTTTCAGACATCTCCTAGTGCTTTTTTGCAGGAACTCCTCCAAAAAGACAAAGAATCCAAGAAGGCCATGGTGCTTGGAGGCCAGATGTATGTTTCTTTCGGATGTGTTGACTCGGGGCCCCCAGATGGCGGAAGCGAAAAACACGTGTATGTTCCTGTTTCTTGATCAAACAGATGTGAATGAGTCTTTGTAGAGCAGAGAACATGGACTCATGGAGTGGTCGAACCTGTCATTTTGCCTCCAACTGAGTCTTATACCACGCGGACACGTGGTACCTGTGTCAGATTTACTGGTGAACGCCCACTAGCTGTGGTAAGGTGTGAGTAAACAACAGAAAACAGATGGTGTGGCAATACGTGACAAGACTTGGAGGCCTAAGGCGAGCGAAAAGGCGAATTTCACCAGCTGCCAGGTAGATGTGAAGTGGTGGCACCAGCCCTCATGCCCCTTGGCACTTCCTAGGAGGTATCTTGATCTCTCTCTCTCTCTACATATTATATACATATGTAATGTATGTATGTATGTATGTATGTATGTATGTATGTATGTATGTATG